TCATACCTCAAAACTTTCCTTTCATTCTTCTGTTATTTCTTATTATTACTTCAACAATTAGGTATGTGTATTAATCAATCAACACATCGGTATGGTACGATTAAATCACTGGATCAACTTATTATACACTTAGGAAATCAACATAAAGTTGGATTATAACCTACCAATAAGCATGACTTCCACATAAGGTTACACCTATTCTTGAGAACTCTACCTTACCATTAAGCCAAGCTTCATTGGCCAAAAGTCAAAATTTTATGAGGAAGAATACCGAAATTTATGCCTCAACTATGGGTAAAGACAGATCTAGGTATTAACAAAGGACAAATTAGTTTATAATTATTGGGCTTATACAAATGACACGTTGGTTAACTACTGCTATCTGCATTTGCTAGCACTCCATTAACTGTGCTTGTGTTTTTTGAAGCAAGAGGAAGGAAATGGGTTTTTTGACTGGGGTTGAGGAAAGAGGAAGGAAGGTAGTAATTGGTGCTAATTAGTCGGCTACTTTTATGCCTGATGGGACATCCATTTTGGATTTCTAGCCTGTCTAAATAGTAGCATATATATTTGTATTCGAGCTGCTACAGTGTCAGATGTAGTACAGTAATATAACTAACCTTTGAGAGGTAAGGGAATAGTTAGGGTGTCGTCTATAATTTTATAGTTATTCTTTTCTAGTTTATCTGTTGTTCAAGTTATTTTGTACTTTAATAAATATATCAGTCATAACAGATAAGAATTATAGATAGTTGCCTCACTTTATATTAATACAAAGCTATGACCACCTTTAAGCAAAACAAAATTTATATTATATCATGGGCTTTAGTAAAATGAAAAGGGATAGTCATTTATATTATATCATGGGCTTTAGTAAAATGAAAAGGAATAATCATTAAATGACTTGTAAGATTACATGAAAAAGTTATATACTAAAAGATTGGGTAATCACAAATAATTTTTTTATACAAACTTTTTATACAATTTTCTATACAACTTTCATAAGTAATTAAATAAATAGATGTATAAAACATTATAGATTTTAATAGAGTAAAAAGAATTAATCATTAAATAACATATATAATTATATGAAAAAAATTTTTTTAAAAAAAATCTCAATCATTTTCCAAAATAATTTTCTCTCAATAATTTTCCTTTTGATCGTTGGTGCCACGTTGGAAAAAATGCAATCAAGGCAAGATACTGACAGAAAACTGTATCATTCCCATAAGAAAGATTGCATTTATCAGTACCTGAGATGGATCAAAAGAACTTTCAGGATCACAATTTTGAGGATAAGTTCCATCCTTGTAATTAGGCCAAAGACCATGGATGAAGAAGTCCGCATTAGGCTTTCCAGTTGTGGGATAACAGCAGGCTTTCTTTGTGTCACAGTATGAGCCCGGCCACTGCATCCAAAAGGCGAAATAAGAAAAAAAAAATGAGGGGGCAGGAAACCTCATAAAATACCACAGAAACTCACTTGTTGAACGAGGTAGAAGAAATCAAAATCCCGAGGGACACAAAGGACTGTTAGATACTGTAGCACCAAGAGCTTGATCAAGATTGAACCTCTCGGAGTCATTTCCCTTCACTCCGTTCAATTCAATCTTTGGGATTAATTTGAACATTTTATTTGTGAATTTATATATGATGATATGGTATCTGCATTTATGGGAAAAAAAGGAAGGTTGTATCTGGAGAATTAGAGCAGGATACGCTCACAAGAAGACACTAATTTACCTACCCAATTCTCTCTTTGCTTTTCTCACATAATTGTAATAAAATCTTATAAAACTAGTAAAAAAATCTGTAGATGTATTTACAGGTCCCACTAAAAATGGTTTTGATTTTTTGACAATAAAAATTCACAATGAATTTTACAATGTCCCCATGACATTAAGAGTAGATATATATATATATATATATGTAATATCATGTAATATCATGTGTCTCACTTGAATTAAAAGAACCAATAAGAATTACATCACATCATGTTGTAAGATTTCATCATCAAAATATATTGTCAATAAATTATTTTTCTACTAAAAATTGTGGATTTTTTTTTTTTTTTGCTAGGGAGAATGTGATTCCATATTCTTTTGTAGGTCTTAACTTCATTTGATTTCCCTTGCTCCATCGTTAGAAGAGAATAAGCAGTTTTGGCTGAATAGTTGCCGTCCTTGTCATGAATCCATTCCCACATGTCAAGGCCACCTTCTAATATCTTCACTTCTTCTATCATCTTCTGAAGTTCTATGGCTTCGTTAGCTTCCCAATCATACAAGTTCCTTCTCCACTTTAGGTTCCATTTCCATGATCCATCATTAGCATTGCCCATCTGATAGCACATGTTCTCTTTACTTGTTGATAACAAACATAATCTTGGAAACCTATTAGCAAGACATCCTTCCCCACACCAATGATCCCACCAAAAACTAATCCTTTTTCCCTTCCCTATCTTTATTCTAAAACCCTCTATCAACCACCCTCCACTCTCTCCATCCAAAGAATCAAGACGGCACACATCTCTCCACCATATTAAGCCTACTCCTCTGTTCCCTTTTACCCAATCTAGCCAATGGTTTCCTCCACCACCAAGTCTTTCAATAATTACTTTCTTCCACAATCCCTCTTTGTTTTTTGCTAATCGTTCCCACCATTTTCCCATCAAAGCCAAATTAAACTTCCTCAAGTCTCTCACCCCAACCTTTCTCCCTCTTTTTTTTTTTTACATATCTTCTCCCACTTAACCCAATTTATCTTCCTCTCATCTCGCCTCCACCCAATAAAAAACTTTTATGAATTTTATCAATGGAATGAAGTGTACCTTTCGGGATCAAGTAAACGAACATTAGGAACACAGGTAGACTAGACAACACTGAATTGATGAGCGTGATGTGACCTTCGAAAGACAGGTGTCTACTTTTCTAGCTAGCAAGCTTCTTTTTAAAGGATTGAACCATTGGGTGCCATATTGCTGTTTTTCTGTGATTCTTGCCAATCGGAATTCCCAAGTATTTAAACGAAAATTCTTCTTGTGTATAGCACAGTTTGTATGCCATCTTTGCTGTCCAGCTTTCTTTAACTCCCACCCCCATTAGTTTACTTTTCGTGAAGTTAATCTTTAGCCCTGAAGCCAACTCAAAAGTTCTCATAATCCTTTTGACCACCCTTATGTTTTCATCAGTTGCCTCATCAAAGAAAGTAGTGTCATTAGCAAATTGTAAGTGTCTATCCATTGTATCTCCATTGCCCACCGTGACACCTTTATATAGTTTCTTCTCCACTGTAGAGGACACTAATCCATTTAACCCTTCTGCCACAATAAGGAATAAGAAGGGGGATAACAGGTCGCCTTGTCGAATGCCTTTGCCTACCAAGAACTCTTTTGTTGGGCTTCCGTTAATGAGAATAGAAATTGAGCTTGATCTTAGACATTCTTGGATCCATTTTCTCCATTTTTCAGTAAATCCCGTCCTTATCAACATGTAATCAATAAAATTCCAACAAACTTTGTCATATGCTTCCTAAAAATTGTGGATTTTATATTTCTGTCAATTAATTTTTAGAAAATAATTGGTATGGAGGAAGAAAGAAAAGAAAATAATTTAGGGAGTGGTATTTTAACTTCAAGGGTTGGATCTATAAACAATTGTCTTCTTGTATGTTATATTCAATGTTTGAGTTTTAAGCAAATACTCAAGAAAATTAATTTTATTAAATGCCTAATGACCTTAAGATCACCTAAGAAGGAATTAATCTCGAAATATATGGAAACTTACTCAAATATATATCTACAGTGAATTTAAACATAAAAAAAAATAGTATTTTAGGGATTCCTAACTTACTATCTTACAATGGGAATAATGTGAACAAAGCAGATTCAACATAAAAGTCTAGTGTTCTTATTTTTTGCGGGGGCATTTGGAGAGGGATATAGCTGGTATAATAGGTATTAAATCTCCATCCTAATGAGGTTTGGTGGTTAATCAATCGAGGAAGATGCCTTTGGAACTTATGTTGAAATGGCTCGAGTTGGTTCTATAGTATTTCTTGTGTAAGCCTCCAACACTAAGTAAACTTGCAAAGATTTGAAAGTAAATATGAGGATAGACACTCTGATATTTAAGTCAGCAATATTTATTTTATAACTGAAATAAAGTCTACATGTTAGAAAAGTACCTTGACGAGAACTCCTATGGGGATATTTATAGACGGGGGGTGATCAAGGTCCATGTGGTCCATTCAGAGTGATTTTTGAAGCATGATGTGGTGCCATGAGTGAACTTTGTGGAGGTACGAATCATGTACGGTGAACTTTCATGAGCTTTTTGTGCAACTAGAACTGAGGACTGTGATGAGGACTTTGGCCCCTTGAGATATAGCTTTGCTTGGGAGAGGACAACATGAGGTGTTTGGATATATCCACATAGAACTTGAGTCTAATAGCTAGTACCTGAGCTTGATATTAGCATATTTAAGCTTGACTTTTCATATATTGAGCTCAAAGGTGTTTTTTTTTATTTTTATTTTTTTGATATATCTGATAATAGGTTATATTACAGAAGATAACCCTTTTATTTTTCCAAATTCCTCCCCATCTAATGCAAGGTTTGAATCTAAGATTTTAATTTAGAATTTCAGGCACTTAACTTGAGATCTTCTCTTGGAGGTAGCTCAAAGGTGTTGCTGTTGCCACACTTTATGTTGTTTGTGGGGTAGGATATAAAGCTTTTACTTTTTGGAAAAATATAAAAGGTTATCTTTAGAGTGTTATTCAATAGTTATTCTAGAGTGTAGTTATTCATAAATTTGGAACTTAATTGCAATGTTTGTAAAGTCAAAGGATGAATAAATTGATGAGATTGAGGACTATGAAATCTAAGATCAAGAACACTTGAATATGTAGGCAAAAAAGGACATTAATTGGTACACATTTCAGTTCAATATATTGTATCACACATTCATTAAAAAATCACTATTTTTTAGTATGAAATTAAAAGAAAATAAATTTAAAAATATAGACATGCATATAGGATATAGAATTGTCTAAATTGGCTATACTTATATTATATTTTAATAAGTAAATTAGAATGAGTGTTAGAAAGTGTATTGAATTAAGTGTGTGTGTTCAATCAGAAGCAAAAAAGATGAGAGAGAGAGGGAGAGAGAGAGTGAGAGGAAACGGACATCGCTCACGAGCAGGACAGACAAAACAGGCAAATGAGCAAGAGAGATCTTGAGGTATAAGTTGGCAATGGAGGAACTTTCCAGCAGGTCAAAGGCAAATGAAGCATGATCAAGAACAGGGTATGAAGATTCAGAATGGAGGACCATATAACAAAGGCTTGTATAACCAAGGTACTCCATTTTTTTTCACAAACTTTCCAGAAGAATGGAGCTATGCTGAAATGTGGAACACTTTCTTATAATATGGAAGGGTTTATGCCATTTATAGTCCAAAGAGGAGGAGTAGGAATGGTAATGGATTCGGATTTGTGCATTTCTTGGATGTTAAAGACAAAGAGGAGTTAGAAAGGAAACTTGGTTAGATCTGAATCGGTGACCGCAAGTTGTGGGTGAATACCCCACGATATGATACTATGTAGTTGAAGGATATAGAGCACAAAAACACCCAAGGA